ATGGGAGCGGGAGGTACGCCGACCACAAGATATAATAAAATGGGAGCGGATGGTACACCTACCATGAGATAAATAAAATGGGAGCGGGTGGCACGCCTGCCACAAGATACATGAAATGCGAGTGGGTGGTACGCCTGCCATGAGATACAAGAAATAGGATCGGGTTGCACGCCTGCAACAAGATGTGAAAAGAAAGTGAAATCTGCCTTTTTTCCTTATTCTTGTTAGTGGTTGGATTTTGATTCCTTTATAGTTCTCTTGATATTATGTCTTACCTGTTATTTCCCGAAGCATGTTTCCCCCTCCCATATTTACTTGTTTATTCCTGCTTTACTTTCCATTGTATATTATATAACTACATAGGTTTATTTGGTGGTCTGGTCCTTGCCTCGTCACTACTTCGCCGAGGTTAGGCTAGATACTTACCAGCACATAGGGTCAGTTGTGTTGATACTACACTTTGCACTATGTGCAGATCCCGGAGCGGCTCTTGGACCGTAGTTGGAGGCTATCTTCAGTCCACGCGGAGATCCAAGGTAGACCTCTAGGCGTTCGCAGGCCCTGACGTCTCCTCTATCTTTTATTTCCTGTTTCATCTTTTTGCTTCCGAAACATTGTGTCTTTTATTCTCGGACCTTGTATTTAGCAGTCTTAGACCATCTGTGACACTGTGACACCAGGTTTTGGGTGATTAAGGCTTAAGTAGTTGTAATAGCTACAAAATCAGATATTTTATTATTTTTCTTCTGTTTAATTAAATATTCCGCTGTTTATACATTATCGCTTTACATCTGTTAAAAAGAATTAATTGGATAATGGAGTAATTAATTTAAAGGATTGGCTTGCCTAGCTCACATAAGTAGGCGCCATCACGACTCTTGAGGGTGGGAAATCCGGGTCGTGACAATCAGTGGCATCAGATTTACAAAAGTAGAGTTTGGCACCAAGGCCCCCGTATTGGAACCATTACTAGTATCAAAGGTAGAACTAGATAAAACACTACTAGGAATACTAGGTACATTACTAGTTAAAACACTACTATTACACAAAGTAGACTTAATTTTAATCAGCCTTCTTCCTAGTATTCCATTTTGATCTTGTTGGTAAGAAGGTATGGCAAAAAGTGGTGGACTTCCAAAAAGTAGACAACTCTTCTATGCATGCATGGCTCCATATTTAGCTAAACTATCTGCAACACAATTTTGCTCTCGATAGATGCTTTAGAGAGGAGGACTATCCAGCTGTAGGAGTAATAAGCTGCAATCATTAATTAGATTAGTGTATTGCATTATAGTTGAGTTTAACATACCGATTATTGCATGTGCATATGTCTCAATGATGAGTGGTTTGAGGTGCTTTTATATAACAATTTTCAGCCCTATGAACAGTGCTAGAAGTTCTGTCTGAACACTTGTCCCGTGTTTTGATGTTCCTGCAAATCTTATAATCCATTTGCCTTGGTGATTTAGAAAAATACCACCAATTCCATGTTTGTTCTGATTAGAGGAGCAAAATCCATCAATGTTAAGCTTATAAGCGTGAAGGGTTGGGGGATGCCATTTTATATATAAAGGTATTAGAGAATGATTTTTGATATGGGATTTGTTAGATAATAAAATTCAGTTAGAGAATGTTTTTGATTATTAAGTTATTAGTAAGCAGTTTATTATATTTTTCGTGCAGATTTTACAAAGGATAGAAAATCATAGCGGGAATCTCAAAGGAAAGCCTCTATATATCTTCTTCAAGTTGAGTTTTGTCATATCATGTGAACTTATTTTGTTGACTGCTTTTGACATTCTAAAGTATGATAATATGACATAAATTCGACTTTCAGACTTTTAGTTGCGATGCAATACTAATTTACTTTTGGATAATGTCAGTTCTTATGAAAAAGTCTTAGACTAAAATTGTTAACTCTAGGAATCAAGTGTCACAACCCTACACTCAACCTATCGTGATGGCGCCTATCAATAGTACTAGGCCAGTCGACTTCCACAATACTACAATAATTCATTAAAATCTATGCCAAAAGATACCTTGTAAAGCAAAATTTCATAAAAGGAACAAGAGTTGAACTCAAAATAGAATGCGAAAAGTAAAGTCTCAAACATTGGGGTGTCACTGAATCATGAGCCACTACTATAAACGGTTCTGATAACAACAAGACTAACATAGTCAGGAAAAAATAAAAAATACAACTACGGGGAAGATAGAGAAGAAGAAAGCAGAGCTGCAGTCGCTAGGCAGCTACCTTACTATCTCCAGTGATCAGCAACAGAAAATAATCAGCAGCCGCTACAGTGGCCAGAGATACCTGGATCTGCACACAAGGTGCAGGGGGTAACGTGAGTATACCAACTCGGTAAGTAACAAGTCCAAACTATGGATTGATAGGTAGTGACGAACTTAACTCAATAGGTAAACAGAAGTAAACTGTGTAGAAGAGTAGGCATGCTTTCAATTCAAGTATCCAGCTCAAGCACTAAAGTAAATACAAATCTGGATAATATGAGGTATAAAGCTCAGCTAATCTCTACGTGCCAATGCGCAGAATGTATGAAATGCATCATGTACTTCCACTCTCAAGATCTCAACCACTCGGTACTGTATATGGCCATCTGGCCCAAGGAAGATCCATCCCGGAATATATACACATCACCGACAACAGTCACTCAGTACCGAGGAAGGCCATTCTAGCCCTGTGGAGAAGATCCATCTCCAAGTATCAATGCTTCGGACAATATATATGTCTAGAGAAGATTCATCCCTCAATAGTATCAATTGCGCTCTCTAGGGGTGTGTTACAGGCTCCGGAGGGGCTCCTGCAGCCCAAGTGCTACCATAATCATCAATATACCCGTTGCGGCATGGAGCCCGATCCCATAACTGTCACTCATAACCAGGCTCTCGGCCTCACTCACTCATTAACCTCTCCAGTCTCACCCCAGGTTCACAATGTCATGAAAACAACCCAGAACAATGACAGCAAAATGCATAAACATGATATCTAGCATGATTTACAGCTCAACTACATTATCACATGGTGAAAACATGGATATCAATAGGATAGAGTCACTAAACAGTGCCATGGAATCACCAGGCCACAATTCTTATGGTGAATGCCCGCACGCCTGTCACTTGGCATGTGTGTTACCTCAATACTAATCACATAATACATAGTTCGGGGTTTCGAACCCTCACATCCAAGTTTGGAAGCGTTATTTACCTCAAACCAAGCCAAAATCCTACTCTGTGATGTCTTTGCCTCTCAAATCGGCCTCTAAACGTCCTGAATCTAGTCACAAGCAATACAATATAATCAATATAGGCTAAGAAACCAACTCCACAAGAAAAATACAAAATTATAGGCCAAATCCCGAAATCGATTCAAACCTGGCCCCCGGGCCCACGTCTCGGAATCCAACAAAACCCACAAAACTAGAAATCACATTCACTCACGAGTCTACCCATACCAATTTCATTAAAATCTGACATCATTTGGTCCTTCAAATCTCCAAATTACTTTCTCCAAAATCCCAAACCCTAACCCCTTATTTCACTTCAAAAATCTTACAAATTAGGTGGGAAATCAACGAGAAAACACCATAGTTAATGATAATAGGGCTCAAGCAAATTACCTCAGCGAATATCTGTCACGACCCAAATTTCCCACCGTCGGGACCGTGATGGCATCTAATATCGTACTCGCTAGGCAAGCCAACGTTAGAGTTATAATCACATTTTCCTTTACATTTTCATAGTTAAGATTAACAAAAGCTAATTCAAATAGAAATAAAAGTAGAAGTACGTATTTAACTGATTATCCTTATACTATTAACAAAATCGAACAGTTACCACCCAGAAACTGGTGTCATAACTCACGAACATTCTATGAATACTACAAGTATGGGTTTGAAAGAAAAATACATCTGTCTAGAAAGAAAATAAAATAGAAATGAGGAAAACATAAGAAGGGATGCCAGGGCCTGCGGACGCCTGCAGAACTATCTTGGATCTCCTTGATGAATGCCTGCAGCCGACCTCTCGATCAGCCACAACCAGCTCCGAAATCTGCACAGAAAGTGCAGAGTGCAATATCAGTACAATCAACCCCATGTACTGGTAAGTGTCGATCTTAACCTCGACGAGGTAGTGACGAGGCTAAGGCAGGGCTTATACAATATAACCTGCAGCAGTATATAATAAAGCAAAAAGGAAATACGGAACAAAATGGAACAGTAACTTGCAGTAAATAAATACGAAACTCAAATAGTTGTTGACATCCAATTTTGACCCTCCTTTCTTCCAAATTATTTCTTTAAGCTTCTAAAATTACTAATAATTTAAGAATAACCATTTTACAGTTGTTATCCTAAGATAGACCTAATTAGTATCATTATTTTTATTATTGTTATTATTTCTAATATTATTACTAACATTAGATATTATTATTATTATTATTACTATTATTAATATTATTATTGTTGTTGTTGTTGTTGTTATTGTTACTTTTATTTTCATTTTTATCGCCATTTGTGAAAAACATATCGTTTTCCTTTATTTAATTAAATAGTAATGTTTCTTTAATCATACAGTTTATAAATACTTGTTCCAAAAACATTATAGTTCTATACATAACAATTAGTGTAAAGGCTATTTTTATATGTTCACATTACATAGTATTATATAATATGATTATTAGAATATTTTATAAAAAATTAGATGCCCAAAGAAATACTCAAGAAGATAGGAGGCTAAAAAACCCAAATATTGTCTTCTCAATTAGTTAGCCCAAGCCTAAGTCGGCCCAAATCTGCCCAACAAGCAGTCCAAAATCCTCCACTTTAGCCTAACTATAGAACACTCTATAACCCCATCAAAACTACGTCGTTTTGATTAATATTCCAGACTTTAATCTCCGCCGTATAAGCTCTTAATCCAACGGCTGAAATTCATTCTTTCATTCTCAAAGACCTAGACACAATTAGCATTTTAATTTTTCCATTCTCTCTCCAAAATAGATGCTTCTTCTCCTCCCTTTCCTTTTCTTCACAAATTCCATTGTTGCTCAGCCATGGCAGACCTGCCATTACCATTTTTGAACAAGAAGCTCTGCACCTCATTTAATTTTCTTCAACATCAACATTCAAATTTCAAACGTTCAAGAGCTTTTCACTCAATTTCAAAATCCCGCCCAAACCAAGAACCCTAGATATCAGCCTATAAATACCCGCCTTTGAAGAGATTTTCGACCAAGCTGAGAGCTGCCCCTTTTACCCCAAAAATTGAAGGTCTTCAGCTGTTGCCTTCACCCTTTGAGACCAAACTTAGAGCCACCGCTCTTTCCCTCTATAAATTATTCTATGCTTATGAACTGTTATTCATCTCAGAAAAGCTTCATTCTTTTTGACTCCACAACTACTTCTGTTGGATATTTACGCTTGCATAAAATCGATTATCTTCATTTATTTTAGTCAAATATGCGTTTGTCCTAGAGGAAAGAGTGGTCTTAAAATTAGAGTTCGATAACGCATCTAAGATCCGTGCCTCGGTTCGCTGCTCCGCAACAGGTTAGTTTTCTTTCTAAACTGTAATCTTCCCTTATTTTGTTATTAGACGTAAAGTATGTGTTGTTTCATCTTCTGTAGAAATAACGTTCCTTAGTGAGTCGTGTTCTAGTTGTTTACTTACAAAATGTGAAGAAGACATGTTTGTTAAAATTACTCTACAAAATGGGTTATGCCGTTTTAGCCAGGAATTATGATCTAAGTATAAGAGTCATGTTTTAGGAGTTATATACAAACCGTGCATTTAAGCATTTTATAAGATAGACCATGTATTTTTAAAAGATTGAGTGGTCAGTGCTTTCTTCTTTTTATCCTTCCCCTTTTCTTTCGAATCTGCTAGTTTTGAATATTTTTTTGATTTGGTTTAAGTTGAGATTAATTCATGTCCTATGTCCTAGATATCATGAAAAATAAGTATTCGTCATATGTTTGATAAATCATTAAGTTAATATGACATTCTTATGATTCTTGGGTTTGTTAAAAGTAGTATGTTAAGCATTTTTTATCTATATATATATAAATCGTGATTTAGTTGATGTCTATGTCATGATTAGGACTCATTTTATTTATAAATTCACACTTATTTACTAGAGGTTTATAAATACTATGCCTATAGGTCCCATTATTTTTGCAGAGAATTTTAAGAGAGTATAATTCATGTCTAGTTACCATGAGTATGCAAAATTTACTATGCCTAATACTGTCTTTTTTTTTTTGTTTGAATGTAGAAGGCTATTGGTTTTTGAGGAATATAGAATGCTTTGTTGTCTATTGTTTGGATTCGTTTAACCATAGAAGAATACGCCTGTAGGTTTATTGAACTATGAAAATTGTCTAATGGTTATCACTAACTGCTGAATACATATTATTGGATTATAAACATATTATAAATTTAAGTCTTTCCTCTCAGTACTGAAATCTTGATTGCATGACAGCATATCTTTTTTATTTTGAATCCGATAATTTAAAGTGCATTCATTATGTATTCACCCTAAATTTACCTTTAGTATAGAGGATAACTAACCAAAGTAGATTATCATCAGTAATATCTACAAGAAATAGGGACTTATTTACTACTAAGGTCCTGTTATAAATCAAAAGAAGTATAATACTAGTTTTATTGCCTTTATATGCTGTTACTGTTATAGATGACTCCTAATTCTTTATTTTTCCTTTTCTTTGCATGCACACTTTGGATCAAATAGAGTCTTAATTCGAGACTCGCAGTGGAGTCTCATAGAGACTCAATATTACCCCATCACCACATGGAGTCGTTACATACCATCTTCTTTAGAGCACCAGATAGCGAGGAAAACAAGCGAATCGCTTGGGATCGCCTATGGCGGCTTTGTTTTCTACTTATTCTGTCTGATGTTGTTAATCTTTGTGATTTGTTTATTTGAACTTATGATTGATGATTAATTTTATCATTTAAAATTACAACTTTAGTTTTGGCAAAGTATTTTATTGAAAAAAGGACTTAAAAGGATAGTGCTAAGAGCTTTGGGGAGATAGTTACCAATTGAGTCTTTATTTTTTTTTAAACTTTTGAGAAAGTATTTTTATAAGCTAAGATAGAATTTGAACATATTTTCAAATCAATTGACTCTTTACTCAAAAGGACGCCTTTTTCACGATAAGCTTTTTGATAAATTTGAGTTGAATATTTAACCAAACTACATCGGAACTTTGATCCATTTCCTAAGTAAAAAAGACAGTTTTTCTCAAGTTTAGTTTTAATAAAATTTCAATCCAACATGTAATTTTTTTGTTTTGAAACCTAAGCATATTTTGCTAATTCAAAATATTTAGATTTGGATTTGAAATTTGATTTCTTTTAAAAGACGTCCTAGTCCATAGAGATTCTTTCTGGAGTCACTTTTTTAGCTGTAAACTAATCTAAGTTGGGCGGTTAACCATTTTTAATGGATCTTAAAAGGTGCTTTACCCCTTCCTTTTAAAATAATTAGAACCCTTACCTAGAATTTTTAAGACTAAGCAGACCATATAAAACAGAGTTAACTTTAAGCATTACTTAGTTAAAATTTGTGTCCTAATTCACCATTAATACAATTAGGTGGCGACTCTTTTAATTAATTAAACCTCAAATTTACCAATATGTTATACTCTAATTTGACCCATGTTAAAATGGGGTATAACAGCTTGGCGACTCTGTTGGGGATTTCTAGGTTCTAAACCACAACAAACTTAGGTTAATAATAAAAATTAATTTGTGTGTTTTTGATTGTTATGATGTTTATTTGAATTGCCGTTATAAGATAAATGGTATTTTATGAATTGTTCATCTATTCTTTTTGCTTTATATAAATTGTCATTCCCATTTCACTTCCTCCACTTCTGGAAAATTCACACAAAGCATACACCTAGCGGTTACGTGGTTTGCGGCCGTGCACTACTCAAAATACCTTTTAAGGAAAAGTTCGTAGGTAAGTCGATCAACGGTGCAATCGACAGTCATGGGCTTTCCGCTCTCAAGTGTCAACTTGGGACCAGACCAGTCTAGAAAACCCATTCTTAGTCAACCTAAGATAGAGCTAAACCAAAACCCTTTTAAGAGCATGCATCATTTTAACCTTAGGTGATTTAATACCCGAGGTGTATTAAACCCATTAGTTGACATTACCTAAATGTTCAAGTGGGTTTTCAACCCCAAATGACCCCTTATCACGTAAATGTGCATTATTTGAAGGGTGAACATGCCAATTATGTGGATCATTTACTTTAAATTAATAATATCCAAGTTAAAGAAGCATGACTATCTTTTTTATAACATGTGTAAAGTTTTCAAACGACATTATCTTGCGGAACAACGAAAAGTTTACACATGACAAAATATTTTTTATTGTACTTTCTTTTGATTTTTTTTACGTAAAAATAAATAAAATGGTTTAAGCAATTCATGTACTTTATTAGCTTTTCAAAAATAGAATTACTTAATTAATTTATTATAATTAGTTATATAAATATATTTTATTATATTTTCTTTTGTTCTTTTGATGAAAATACACTCCTTTTTTACAAAAAAAAAAAAGAAAGATGTTTAAGCAGTTATACTTTACTATTTATTATTCATTTATAGAAATGGGATGATACATAATGGCATATTTATTTTTCAAATACATGTTAGGCCTACCTCTGGCACAAAGAGGCCCTCCTGCATATTAGGACGCGCAATTATTTTGTTATGCTTTGGAATCTGTCACATGCTTTGCTTGCTTACTTGCTACATCGCTTATTTGCTATGTTGCTTACTTGACTTTATTATTTTTACTAACATTTTGTTGTTTTTCAAAAGATGAAAATATGGACTATCCTGCTTGCTTACTTCTTTATTTAAATATATACTCTATTTGTTGACATATTTTTTTTATATCATCCTCTTGACTTAATAATAATAATAATAATAATAATAATAATAATAATAATAATAATAATAATAATAATAATAATAATAATAATAATAATAATAATCACCATCATTTCACGCTTACCGCTCTTTAACGACTCTAGAGCACCATTTAGGTATTTACTTATGCCCAAAATTTTCTTAGGTCCACTCCAATTCTTAGATGTCTTTTTAGTCTCTGGCATGATCTTCCATTTTATAAGGCATGACGTTTTGCCCGCAAACTCTTCAACTAGCTCGGTTCGTCATAAAGTTCATCGATATTAGTGTCTTAAACTAGCATTAAGAATTTTCTTTAGACAACAATGAGCATATCACTCCCTATAGCAAGATATCATTCCTACTTCTTTAAAAAAAACTGGCATAATATTTCATAATTAGAAAATATTTTTTCCATCTAATTTCGCGAGTTAGTTTTATTCGTGTCCTTTTCATAAAAATCTAGTTACATAATTATTTTAAATATTGTCACTCGTGTCTCACATAATTTTTCCAATTACAGCGTAATCTTGTACCTCTAATATTCGTCTCATAGCTTCATATCTCTTAGAATTTCAACCTTTGTGCCAATTCTCATTTACAAGTGGGTATATGTCCAAACTTGCACAATCTACCAAACAATAGAAGGCCACTATTTGGTCAATTTACATCGTCAAATTATTTTCAATATTTTCACCTATTCAATTCAAGTGTATGCGTCGTCTTATTTCGGGTCGTCGAGATTAATCTTCACGCACCCGTTAATTCTAAGTTTTGGCACGTGAGTCGAGGTGCTATCCCATAAGTCTCAAAATGGTTGATACTATATTCCAGGCCTCGACAACTTTACGATTGGCCAAAGCTAAAAAAATAGATTTTATATTCTTTTCATTGACTACCATATCCTTATCAATTATTTTGATCCTGAGCTTGTCTATATTCAAATACCAACAAATTATTTTCTAATATCAAAATCACACATCTTTGGCCTCTCTTAAATATTGTAACATTACAAGACCCGATCTCATTGGTTTATTAGGCACGCATTACCAAATATTCTACCCTTAGCCTTCAATATTTATCTACTCCATAGTGACTATATATACCTTTTTCCAAAAGAATTTGACTTGAGTTAAACATCAAAGCAACACAAGTTCAAGGACAATATGGCCAACCAAATCACAGTGATTGACCTAGATGCAGATGAGTTTGAGTACAAGAAATCCAAATCATACCAAGATAAGATTACTAAGCTTGAAGAAAAAGTGACAAATGGAGCAAGAAATTGATGGCGTCAAGGAAGTGATAGCTGATCTTAAGAACTTGTTCAACGAAAAAGGCTACTCTCAATTTCGTACAACTGCATCTCCCACTTATGAGTGTAACGCCTAGTTTTTTCAAATCTGCGCTCTTGCTTGCTAGGAAGGCCATTCTAAGCTTCCAATAATGGGTATGAAGAAGAAGAATGATTAACAAGGACTCTATCACAGAATTTGAAAAATTATCATTCCCCACCCACCTCCCTTATTTAGGATATGCATGCAACCTACATAAGGCTCGGTCTGATTATAGCAAAGAAACTAGGGCAGATTTTTGGCACGCATGATGAGTATGATCGAAAGGGATATCATGCCATAGAGTAATAATCAAAAATTTCTTAAATATTGGGGCAAATTGTTTTAAAATTTCAGAGCCATGCAAGGGCGAGAACCTATGATAGAGCTAAAGTTTTGATGTTCGATATGAGTCAACCTTTCACAAATCATTAAATCAATTCGCTTCCATATCAACAAGTCACGTTCGTTAGAGCCCTCTAGATAACAAGTTATTCTCGTCCATCCATTTTGCAAATGTTTCTAGTTTAGGGCTCCTTCTTAACCATATCATGGATTTATCTATCTAATCATATATTTTATTATTTTAGTGCATTTATTTGTTATGACGAATGTGCTAACACTTTATTTTGTTTGTAAAAGCTTTATTTTTTTTTAAAGGTTGCTTGGCATTGAACACTGTTTTGGCTATGAATCAGCATCAAGGACGCAACTATAATGGCAAACCGATTTGGAGCACTCAGTAGCGGTAAAGGTTTATTGCAAGTTGAGACTGATGATGAGGAGACAAATGTTGTACAGAGGAACATTTTGGTCAATCTGGGAAATACTTTCAACCTTCTCCCCAACCCAAATTCTTCTTCCAACTCAACCCGAAATATCTCTTTGACCATATCTCCTCATCCAACAACTATTTACATAAGTCCTCCACCGATACCACCAAAATTTACTATCAATCCAGAGGCTTTGCCCGTCATCATGATGACCAATGCCCAATCGTCTACACTTGCAACATCAGTCATAGAAAGCCAACAAAATCAACTGGTGTTATGTCCATACAAAATATCAGGAAAGGAAATTAAGACGACTAGCTGGGATGATCCAGATAGAGAGCTCCATAACCTAAGAAAGATCGTGGAGGAAGAAATGTCTGCAAGAAATATTCAGAGTTTAAGATATGAAAGTTTGTGCATGCATCCAAATGTTGAGCTTCCGCCAGGATTCAAAATTCCACAATTCAATACTTTCAATGAGAAAGGAAATCCCATTTCTCATTTGAAAGACTACTGCAGCAGATTAGTGGGGATTGGACACAATGAAGTCATTCGAATGAAGTTGTTCATTCAGAGTCTATCAGGGCTAGCGCTTGATTGGTACACTTAATCAGATTTTAGCAAATAGTACACGTGGGAGGACATGGCCCGCGATTTTGTAGAACAATATAAGTTTAATATTGGAGATAGTCCAACGCTTTGTGATATGTGCAAAGTAGAAAGAATGCAATACGAGTCTTTTGCAGAATATGCCATGCGATGGAGACTGGAGGCTTCAAAAATACGCCCTCAATTGCCCGAGAATGAGTTGATTTCCACCTTCATCGAAATGCAAAAAGGCATATACTATGAAATGTTGCTATGCGCTCGGCTACATGACTTCTCGGATTTGATTAGAGTTGGAAAATTGATCGAATCAAGCATTCGATAAGGAAGAATTGTTGACAAATCAAAATTACAAGCCACTTCCTAAGGCGATGCACTGGAGAATTTATAAGGCAAAAAGAGGAAGATAAATTCTGCTTGTATTCCCGCTCATCAACCACAATCTCAACAAAACAACCAGCTGCTACAAACTCATATGCAACTCCAACCTACTCAGCAAAGCGTTCAACATCAAGCTTATCAAGCACAATTTAGCTATTGTCATTCAGAGAACCTGAAATTCCGCACTTTTATTCCTCTGAAAGAATCATTGACAAGTATATTTGAGAGATTGAAAGCGAAAGGACTTTTACAGCCAAGGAAAGGATGGATCCCGCCTTCCTCCAGATTTTGATTGGTATAAAACTTGTGCATACCATTCATATATTCAAGGCCATGACACAGAAGAGTGCCCAACACTTAAGCATAAGATTCAGAACATGATTGAAAACAATAAGATAATTGTGCAGCAAGAGCAACCATGCAACAACTATGACCCTTCAGTCGCTACTACCATCATGGTTAAAGGTAATCTTTCAAAGTTGGCACCAAGACCTTTGAAGAGAAAGCGTGAAGCTAAACAAGATGATTGACTAGAGTTTTTCATCACTACTATTTTGCCCACCCTTTCATGATTTACTCTGTTTCATGTACTTTTGTTAAACTTTTTTATGAACTACGTTTTGACCTAATTCCTGTTTAAGAGGGGATACATAGGCAACCCTATGGGTTCGGTCTCAACATAATAAAATTTTTATTTTTTTCCAAAAGCCAAAATCGGGGCAGATTTTGCAGAAGGATACTCATCATTCGGCAAAGCAGAAAATGAGATTTCGAGCTACATATTTGTTACAAGCGCAACAACAAATTTCCAGAATGCCATAGCAGCAAGTTGTGGATTCAAAGCCAAAACTTTGACGTTCAATGCAAGGCAACCACTTTATTTTATACTAATGAATTTTCTTTGAGTAAAGAAGGGGCAAGCTCTAGCCATTCTCAATCAAGACCATCTGCGTGATGATCCAAAGCTCAGCATCAAGCCAAAATCGCAAAACTCACAATAGGATGAAACCAAGCCAGCATGAATCAAATTTTGGAACTCACAATTTTTCTTTGAGTGCAGGAATTTAATAATAGATAATTTCAACTTGAAGATATGACAAGCATCGGCATTTCACCATGAACAATTGCTATTGCATTGCATCAAGCTCTTTACACCATACAATTTGCTATTTCAAAGACATTGTACCACGCTCTCCGTATCACACCTTGAATACTCGAAGGCAATGCACCGGTTCTTCACCTGCATCATGAATATTCACTGCTTTGAATCAGGCGCTACACTAAGCTTTTTGCGTTCCACTAATTTTCTATGAATCAGGCATCACACAAAGCTCTTCGCACTGCACCAATCTTGTAATATTAAATCAAGCATCACATTTAGGCTTGTCCACCTTTAATGGGACACTTAGGCTTGTCCGCCTTTAATAGGACGTTTAGGCACATTTTGCCTTTAATTAAATATTTAGGCTTATCCGCCTTTAATTAGATATTTATGCACATTTATAATAATTAAATATTTAGGCTCGTCCGCCTTTAATAGGACAATTATGCACATTTGTCTTCAATTAAATATATAGGCTTATTATGCACATTTATCTTTAATATTTAGGCTCGTCCGCCTTTAATAGGACAATTATGCACATTTATCTTTAATTAAATATTTAGGCTCATCCGCCTTAAATAGGATATTTAGGCTTATCCGCCTTTAATTGGATTTTTAAGCAAGTTTGCCTTTAATATGATATTTAGGGTTGTCCACCTTTAACGGGACATTTATGCATTAAATATTTAGGCTTATCCGCCTTTAATTGGATATTTATGCACATTTATCTTTAATTAAATATTCAGGCTCGTCCGCCTTTAATAGGACAATTATGCACATTTGCCTTTAATTAAATATTTAGGCTTATCTGCCTTTAATTGAATTTTTAAGCGCACTTGCCTTTATGATATTTAGGCTTGTCCTCCTTTAACATGACATTTATGCATTAAATATTTAGGCTTATCTGCCTTTAGTTAGATTTTTAAGCACGCTTGCCTTTATGATATTTAGGCTTGTCCGCCTTCAATAGGACATTTAGGCTTATCCGCTTTTAATTGGATTTTTAATCATGTTTGCCTATTAATATGATATTTAGGCTTGTCCGCCTTTAACAAGACATTTATGCATTAAATATTTAAGCTTATCCGCCTTTGGTTGGATTTTTAAGCACACTTGCCTTTATGATATTTAGGCTTGTCCGCCTTCAATAGGACATTTAGGCGTATCCGCCTTTAATTGGATTTTTAATCATGTTTTCCTATTAATATGATATTTAGGCTTGTCCGCCTTTAACAGGACATTTATGCATTAAATATTTAGGCTTATCCGTCTTTAATTGAATTTTTAAGCACGTTTTTCTTTAATATGATATTTAGGCTTGTCCGCCTTTAATAGGACAGTTATGCATATTTGTCTTTAATTGAATATTTAGGCTCATCCGCCTTAAATAAGATATTTATGCTTATCCGTATTTAATTGGATTTTTAAGCAAGTTTGCCTTTAATATGATATTTAGGCTTGTCCGCCTTTAATAGGACAGTTATGCATATTTGTCTTTAATTGAATATTTAGGCTCATCCGCCTTAAATAAGATATTTATGCTTATCCGTATTTAATTGGATTTTTAAGCAAGTTTGCCTTTAATATGATATTTAGACTTGTCCGCCTTCAATAGGACACATTAGCACATATTCACATACTATTCATTAATTTATTCTGACCTAGATGGTCATGTTGTTTATGTCATTACTGAAATGTATCATTATCCTAAATCATTGCAAAGCACATTTATAAACTGCATGTTATTGTTGAAAATCATCATCGGCATAAAGCTACATTTTTATCAAATTATTTTGACCGACTAGGCCGCATTGTATAAGTAAATGCCCAAAAGGTGTCATTTTCATAAGATTACTTCGATATCTACTCTACTGACGAATTTTCCTGGCATGTTAAGCTTTGCAGGAAACATAGTGCAACATGGTGATTAAGCCGAGTTATCGCAAATTATATTTTGAAACTCATATTTTTCTTTGAGTGTAGGAATTTACTAATAATAAACTTCAGCATACAAATTCCCAAATTATTGGCACTGATCCTTGAATATTTTCTTCTGTAAAGGCACTGCATCAAGTCTCCACACCATGGATATTCGCTACTACAAAGTCATCTCACCAGGATTTTTGCATCGCACCATGAATTACCACTACAAATTGGGCACCATATCAAGCTCTTCGCACTGCATCAATCATTGCAATTACAAATCAAGCACCATATATCGGGTCGATCCACCCTCAAATAGGATATTTTGGGTTCATCCACCCTCAAATAGGATATATCGGGTTCATCTGCCCTCAAATAGGATATATTGGGTCTATCCGCCCTCAAATAGGATATATCGGGTCTATCCTCCCTCAAATAGGATATATCGGGTTCATCCACCCTCGAATAGGATACGTCGGGTTCATCCACCCTCGAATAGGATACGTCGGGTCTATCCGCCCTCGAATAGGATATATCGGGTCCATCCGCCCTCGAATAGGATATATTGGGTCCATCCGCCCTTAAATAGGATATATCGGGTACATCCGCCCTCAAACAGGATATATCAAGTCCATCCGCCCTCAAACAGGATATATCGGGTCCATCAGGCCTCAAACAGGATATATTGGGTCCATCTGCCCTCAAACAGGATATATCGAGTCCATCTGCCCTCAAACAGGATATATCGGGTCCATCCTTCCTCAAACAGGATATATCGGGTCCATCCGCACTCAAACAGGATATATCGGGTCCATCCGCCCTCAAATAAAATATATCGGGTCTATCCGCCCTCAAATAGGATATATCGGGTCAATCGGCCCTCAAATAGGATATATCGGGTCAATCCGCCCTCAAATAGGATATTGAAGTTAATCCTTCCTCAAAAGGACGTTAATTTATTTCGACCTGAGTGGTCCCGCTTGCATAAGCATTGCCGAAACATATCTTTCATAAATCATTGCCAAATGCATTTATTAAATTTCTAAGTGCCATTGCCGATTATGAAATATGTCACCATAAAATTATATTTTTATGTGTTTGCACAATAAATTTGCATTTCTTATGAATTCACGCCTAAATATTAGTTATATAAGATTACTGTTATGGCATATTGCATCTTATTTCCTAACGAATATTTTTAGCATTGTTAAGCTTTACAGGAAATATAGCACAACGTAGAACTATATCTTAGCAGTGAACTGGGGCAGTTTGTTGGGGAGGAATACCAAACTCTCCAACAAAGGTCAAGGATCCACTTCGAACTCCGCTCGGCTCGACTCTCAATATTCATAATCAAATTCTTATTTCAAACAATTTCCTTTCAATCATGGTACCCAATATCTCTATTATTTGACACTGGGCAATATTTTAAGATCTGCATCGATAAGTGAGTCCTACTCCAGGGTACCATAAATCTTGAACTACATATGGTCTAATTCTCATGAAAGCCGAGATATGTAGGCAACTTGAAATCGGAGTTCGACCGTAATTATTTTTTTTACGTCCCCTTTGTCCCATTCCAATCTTGATGGTCGGGACAAAATTGGCTACTAAGACAATATTCATTGCCCGAAAACTCTTTCATCACCTCCGGTCAAAGAGGGGCAGTTGTTGATAACCAATTTTGACTCTCCTTTCTTCCAAACTATTTCTTTAAGCTTTTAATATTACTAATCATTTAAGAATAATTATTTTACAGTTGTTATCCTAAGATAGACCTAATTAGTATCATTATTTTTATTATTGTTATTATTATTATTATTATTATTATTATTATTATTATTATTATTATTATTGTTGTTGTTGTTGTTGTTGTTACTTTTATTTTCATTCTTATCAACATTTGCGAAAAGCATATCGTTTTCCATTATTTAATTAAATAGTAATGTTTCTTTAATCCTACGGTTTATAAATACTTGTTCCAAAAACATTATAGTTCTATACATATCAATTAGTGTAAAGGCTATTTTTATATGTTCACATTACGTAGTATTATATAATATAATTATTAGAATATTTTATAAAAAATTAGAAGCCCAAAGAAATACCTAAGAAGATAGGAGGCTAAAAACCCAAATATTGTCTTCTCAATCAGTTAGCCCAAGCCTAAGTCGGCCCAAGTCTGCCCAACAAGCAGTCCAAAATCCTCCACTTTAGCCCAACTATAGAACACTCTAGAACCCCATCAAAACTACATCATTATGATTAATATTCCAGACTTTAATCTTAGCCGTATAAGCTCTTAATCTAACGGCTGAAATTCATTCTTTCATTATCAAAGACCTAGACACAATTAGCATTTTAATTTTTCCATTCTCTCTCCAAAACAGACGTTTCTTCTCCTCCCTTTCCTTTTCTTCACAAATTCCATTGTTGCTTAGCCATGACAGACCTGCCATTACCATTTTTGAACAAGAAGCTCTGTACCTCATTTAATTTTATTCAACATCAACGTTCAAATTTCAAAAACATTCAAGAGCTTTTCATTCAATTTCGAAATCCCGCCTAAACCAAGAACCCTAGAAATCAGCCTAGAAATACCCGCCTTTGAAGAGATTTTCGACCAAGCTGAGAGCCGCCCCTTTTACCCCAAAAATTGAAGGTCTTCGGTCGTTGCCTTCACCCGTTGAGACCAAACTTAGAGCCACCGCTCTTCCCCTCTATAAATTATTCTATGCTTATTAACTGTTATTCATCTCAGAAAAGCTTCATTCTTTTTTGACTCCACAACTATTTCTGTTGGGTATTTACCCTTGCATAAAATCGATTATCTTCATTTATTTTAGTCGAATATGCTTTTGTCCGAGAGGAAAGAGTGGTCTTAAAATCAGAGTTCGATAACGCATCTAAGATTCGTGCCTCGGTTCGTTGCTTCGCAACAGGTCAGTTTTCTTTCTAAACTGCAGTCTTCCCTTATATTGTTATTAAACGTAAAGTATGTGTTGTTTCGTCTTCTGTAGAAATAACATTCCTTAGTGAGTCGTGTTTTAGTTGTTTACTTACTAAACGTGAACAAGACGTATTTGTTAAAATTACTCTACAAAATGGGTTATGCCGTTTTAGCCAGGAATTATGATCTAAGTATAAGAGTCATGTTTTAGGAGTTGTATAGAAACTGTGCCTTTAAGCATTTTATAAGATAGACCATGTATTTTTAAAAGATTGAGTGGTCAGTGCTTTCTTCTTTTTATCCTTCCCCTTTTCTTTCGAATCTGCTAGTTTTGAATATTTTTTTGATTTGGTTTAAGTTGAGATTAATTCATGTCCTATGTCCTAGATATCATGAAAAATAAGTATTCGTCATATGTTTGATAAATAATTAAGTTAATATGACATTCTTGTAATTCTTAGGTTTGTTAAAAGTAGTATGTTAAGTGTTTTTTGTCTAAATATATAGTAATCATGATTTAGTTGATGCCTATGTCATGTTTAAGACTCATTTTATTTATAAATTCACTCTTATTTACTAGAGGTTTATAAATACTATGCACATAGGTCCCATTATTTTGCACATAATTTTAAGAGAGTAGAATTCATGTCTAGTTACCATGTGTATGCGAAATTTACCATGCCAAATAATGTCTTTTTTTTGTCTTAAGAGAGTTACAATACCACAGAATAAAATCACGACAGAGGAAGAATACATAAACAACAAAATGATACGGCGCACATCCCGATCCCACCATATAACAAGTAATAATATGAACATTTACCCTTATTACTCTTTGTTGCGGTGTGCAACCCGATATTACCAGTCCACCCTTATTACTCCTCATATATCACCCTTATTCCTCCTGTTGCGGCGTGCAACCCGATCCCACATGTCCACCCTTATTACTCCTCATATATCACCCTTATTCCTCCTGTTGCGGCGTGCAACCCGATCCCACATGTCCACCCTTATTACTCCTTGTTACGGCGCAACCCAGTCCCACTAGACAATCACATTTCACTCTTATTCCTCTTGTTGCAGCGTGCAACCCGATCCCACTCTATAAGTACCAATCACAAAATAAGAACAAGTATTTCACAATTTATCTCAAAACCCTCCACAACATTTATACCTCAAACCGAAACAACGGGAATTCTATACAGTTATGAAACTTCATTAGTTAGTACTACACAGCGAGACCAACCAAAGTGTACCATGAAGCACCAATAAACCAACTTAAACCAATAATGTAATATAATGAAACTACGGAACAATTAATACCTTCAATAGAGAAAATAACATTTAACAAGAAGCAATTAGACATGGAAGCATCAATAAGCAAGTAGCAGTTAAGACAGGAAAACAATATACTAGGAACGGGGAAGGGAACAAGCAAAATAGATAATTTTGCGGCGCATAGGTACTCATCACCACACCTATACGCCACACACATGGAATTTCACATAGCAACTAAGTCGAGGATCCCTAATCCCTCGAGTCAAGGTTAGACCAAACGCTTACCTCAAACCAACGGGCAATTCAAAGCTCAATTACCTCTTTACCTCTCGATTCCACCTCTAATCCACTCGTATCTAGTCATAATTAACTTAATAACATCAATTATCGCCAAAGAAATCAGTTCCAATGCATAACTATAAGTTTCCCCACATTTTTCCCAAAAAGACAAAAACTGACCCCGGGCTTGCTTAGTTAAAACTCAAAATTCGGACAAAAACTCGATTACCCATTCACCCCGAGCCCGGATATACAATTAGTTTTGGAATCTGCAAATCCCTAAATTTCCAAATTCCTAAGTTCTACCCAAAAACGACCAGTTCCACCATGAAAAACCCTAGATTCTAGGATGAAATCTTGTAAAAAGATGTATTATATTAAAAATAAATAAGTTAAGAATCATTACCTATGATTTGGGGAAGAAATGGTCTTTGGAAAATCGCCTCTTGAGGTTTAGGTTTTGAAAATGGGAGAATGAATGAAAAATCCCGTCTAAGTCTAAAGTTATCAGCTGCAGATGTCGCATTTGCGACCTGAGCTTCGCAATTGCTAAGCTCGCAAATGCGAAGGACCATAGAAATTGCGAAGTCCTGCACATTTCTGTTGCCTTTACAATTGCGAAGTTAAATTCGCAAATGCGATGAAATGATCGCAATTGCTATCCCTGCCCTTCCCAGTTTTACTTCGCAAATACGAAGAAATCTTCGCAATTGCGAAGACTGCTTGGCCCAGCCTTCCTTCGCATTTGCGATGAAGGCCTCGCAAATGCGAACCCTGACCTCGCAATTGTGAGGCCTGAGGCCTGCAACACAGCTGAAGCATACCAACTATTTTTCTTAAGTCCAAAACACTCTGTAACTATCCGAAACTCACCTGAGCCCTCGAGACTCCAAAATAAACATGCATACAAGTCTTAAAACATATTACAAACTTGCTAATGCGATCAAATCGCCAAAATAACACCTAGAACTATGAATTTAGTACCACATTGTATGAAATTTTTCAAGATAGATTCAAAACTTCTATTTTTCTCAACCAAAGGTACGAATCACGTTAAATCAATTCCATTTTTCACCAAATTTCACAGATAAGGTTTAAATATCATAAAGGACCTACACCGGGCTCCGGAATCAAAATACGGGCCCCATACAACCAAGATCAGATCCTTTAAATTATTATATTTTCAGTCTTATCAATTTCCTTCAAAAATTCATTTCTCGGGCTAGGGACCTCGGATTTCGATTCCGGACATACGCCCAGATCCCATATTTTACAACGGAACCTCCAGGACCGTCGGAACACAGGTTCGGGTCCGTTTGCCCAAAATGTTGATCGAAGTCAACAAAAATTAACTTTTTAGGCCAAAAATCATCATTTCTTAAATCTTTCACATAAGGACTTTTCGGATACACGCCCCGACTGCGCACACAAATTGAGGAGAGGTAAAAATGAGGGTTTTAAGTCCTCGGGACATGGATTCAATTTTAAAATAGAAGATGACCCTTTGGGTCATCACATTCTCCACCTCTAAAATAAACGTTCGTCCTCGAACGGATATAAAAAAGTAACTGGGATAGTGAAAAGATGGGGATATCTATTTCGCATATCGGACTCAGACTCCCAGGTGGCTACCTTAATAGGTTGACCTCTCCACTACACACGAACCGAAGGATAACTTTTCGACCTCAACAGACAAACCTATCGGTCTAGAATAGCTATCGGCTCCTCTTCGTAGGTCAAATCCTTGTCCAGCTGGACTGTGCTGAAATATAACATGTGGGATTGATCGCCGTGATACTTTCGAAGCATGGACACATGAAACACTGGATGTACTGCTGATAAACTTGGTGGCAATGCAAGTTTGTAGGCCACGTCTCCCACTCATCAACGATCTCAAAAGGTCTGATGATCCTAGGGCTTAACTTGCCCTTCTTCCCAAATTGCATCACACCCTTCATGGGTGACACCCGAAGCAACACTCTCTCTCCGACCATGAATGCCATATCACGAAACTTAGGGTCGGCATAACTCTTTTCCTAGACTGAGCAATACGAAGTCTCTCCTGAATGATCTTAACCTTATCCAAGGCATCCCGTACTAAATCTGTACCCAGTAACCGAGCCTCCTCGGCTCAAACCACCCAACCCGCGATCGACATCGTCTACCATACAATGCCTCATAGGGAGCCATCTGGATGCTCGACTGATAACTATTGTTGTAGGCAAACTCTGCTAACAGCAAGAATTGATCCCACGAACCTCCAAAGTCAATAACACAGGCGCGAAGCATATCCTCCAAGATCTGAATAGTACGCTCAAACTGTCCATCCATCTGAGGATGAAATACTGTGCACTACTAGACCCGCATACCCAACTCACGCTGTACTGCCATCCAGAAATGCGAGGTAAACAGCGTACCTCGATCAGAAATGATAGACACTGGCACACCATGAAGACGAACGATCTCATGGATAAATATCTTTGCCAACCGCTTCGAAGAAATAGAAACTGCCATAGGAATGAAATGCGCTAACTTAGTCAGCCTATCCATAATAACGCATACTGCATCAAACCTCTGAGTCCGTGGGAGTCTAACAACGAAATCCATAGTGATACGCTCCTATTTCCACTCAGGAATCTGAATCTCCTGAAGCAAACCACCAGGTCTCTGATGCTCGTACTTTACCTATTGACAATTCAAACATCGAGCTACATATGCAACAATATCCTTCTTCATCCTCCTCCACCAATAATGTTGCCACAAGTCCTAATATATGTTAGCGGCGCCCGAATGAATAGAATATCGGGAACTATGGGCCTCCTCTAGAATCAACTCCCCAAGCCCATCTACATTAGGCATACAAATACGACTCTACATCCTCAAAACTCTATCATCTCCAACTGTAACCTGCTTGGCATCTCCGTACCGCACTGTGTCCCTAAGTACAAGCAAATGAGGATCAACATATTGCCGATATCTGATATGCTCAAACAAGGAAGATCGAGCGACTGTACACGCTAGAACATGACTGGGCTCAGAAACATCCAACCTCACGAACTGATTGGCCAAAGCCCGAACGTCTAAGGCAAGCGGTCTCTCACTAACTAGAATATACGCAGTGCTGCCCATACTAGCTGACTTCCTACTCAAAGCATCGGTCATCACATTGGCCTTCCTGGGATGGTACAAGATGGTGATATCATAGTTTTTCAATAGCTCCAACCACCTTCTCTGCCTCAAATTGAGCTCTTTTTGTTTAAACAAATACTGCAAACTCTTATGATCTGTGAACACCTTACATGACACACCATATAAATAATGCCTCCAAATCTTCAGCGCGTGAACAATGGCTGCTAGCTCTAAGTCATGAACTGGGTAATTCTTCTCGTGAATCTTCAACTGTCGTGAAGCATACGCAATAACCTTGCTATTCTGCATCAACACCACACCAAGTTCAATACGAGATGCATCACAATATACTGTATAGGGCCCTGAACCTGTGGACAACACCAACACCGGCACCATAGTCAAAGCTGTCTTGAGCTTCTGAAAGCTCGCCTCACACTCGTCCGACCACCTAAATGGGGCACCCTTATGGGTCAACCTGGTCATCGGGGCTGCTATAGATGAAAACCCCTCCATAAACCGATGGTAATAACCTGCCAAACCTAAGAAACTTTGGATCTCTGTAGCTGATGTGGGTCTAGGCCAGTTCTTGACTGCCTCAATCTTCTTAAGATCTACCTGATTACCCTCTACTGATACAAGGTGACCCAAGAAAGCAACTGAACTCAACCAAAACTCACATTTCGAAAACTTAGCATATAACTGGATGTCTCTCTGAGTCTGAAGAACAATCCTAAGATGCCGCTCATGCTCCTCTCGGCTGGGAAATAGATCAAGATATCATCAATGAAAATAATCATGAAGGAATCCAGATAGGGCTTGAACACCCGATTCATCAAATCCATAAATTTTGCTGGGCCATTTGTCAAGCCAAATGACATCACTAGGAACTCATAATGCCCATATCGAGTCCGAAAAGTTGTCTTAGGGACATCAGATGCCCTAATCCTCAACTGATGGTAGCCAAACCTCAAATCAATTTTTGAAAACACCTTGGCACCCTGAAGCTGATCAAGTAAGTCATCAATCCTCGACAATGGATACTTGTTCTTGATGATGACTTTGTTCAACTGCCGGTAATCTATGCACATCCTCATCGATTCATCATTATTCTTTACAAACAACATGGGTGCACCCCAGGGTGAGACACTAGGTCTAATAAAGCTCTTATCAAGCAAATCTTGCAACTGCTCCTTCAATTCTTTCAACTCTAGCAGGTTCATACAATACATAGGAATAGAAATGGGCTGAGTGCCCCGAGCCAAATCAATGCAAAAGTTGATATCCCTATCGGGTGGCATCCTCGGTAGGTCTACAGAAATTACCTCTAGGATCTCCCGAACAACTGGTACAGAATTCATGGAAGGAAACTCTGCACTAGAATTACAAACATAAGCCAAATAAGCCAAACACCCCTTCTCGACCATACACCAAGCCTTTATATAAGAGATAACCATGCTAGTAGAATGACCAGGAGTCCCTCTCTACTCCAATCGAGGAAACCCCGATAATACTAAGGTCACGATATTAGCGTGACAGTCCAATATAGCATGATAAGGTGACAGCTAATCCATCTTGAAAATGACATCGAAATCAACCATATCGAAAAGTAGGAGATTTATGTTAGTCTCAAGACCCCCAATAACAACCACATACGAGCGATAGACACAATCTACAATATTAGAATCCCCCACCGGTGTGAACACATATATGAGAGAATTCAAAGAATCATGAGGCATAACCAAATATGAAGCAAAATAAGAAAACACATAGGAGTATGTATACCCTGGATCAAATAGAACTGAAGCATCTTTATTACCAACCGAAACAGTACTTGTGATAACTGCATTGGAGGACTCAGCCTCAGGCATGGCTGGGAAAGCGTAACATCAGGGATGGGCCCCCATCACTCTGAACCATATCTCTAGGATGGCCTCGTGCTAGCTAGCCTCCACCTATAATGGCTTGGCCTCTACCTCTAATGGCTTGATACTGCGGCTGACCCTGACGAGCTGACTGACCGCGATAATAACTCTAAAAAGGAGGTGCTCTGATAGGAGTTAGCAATGCACTATAAGTTGGCTGCCCTGAAGGAGGTACATAAGGACCACAACCACCTGAATCTCCATGGGATGTCTGAACTGCTGAATGAAATGGCCTGGGAGGATGGCCCCTACCAAAAGTACCCTAACCTCCAGATGAGGCCCCACTGAATCCACCAAAGTGACGAGGCCTCTTGTCAGACCCTTGACCACTCCCCTTTGATAGAACCATCTCAACTCGTCTGGCTACATTGGCTGCATCCTGGAAAGAAATCTCACTCCCTGACTCCTTAGCCATCTGCAATCTGATAGGTTGAGCAAGTCCCTCAATAAACCTTCTCACCCTCTCTCTCTCTCGATAGGAATTATAAGAAGAGTGTGATGGGCCAAATCAACAAATCTGGTCTCGTACTGAGTGACAGTCATAGAACCCTGCTAAAGGCACTCAGACTACCTCTGATAGTCCTCTTTTTGAGTGATGGAAAGATACTTATCCAAAAATAGCTGAGAGAACTGGTCCCAAGTGAGAGCTGGTGACCCAGTTGGTCTGGCCAAACAATAATCCCTTCACCATTTCTTGGCAGAACCTGAGAAACGAAAGGCATCAAAGTCGATCCCATTAATCTCCACTATCCACATGTTCCGTAACACCTCATGAAAACTATCCTGATAGTCCTGGGGATCCTATGAAGATGTACCGACCTAGGTAACACTCTTCATAAGGCCCACCAGATGGACCAAAGCATCATGAAGTACAAGGGTAGCTATGAACCCCTCTGGAACCTGAGTTGGCCCTGCTAGAACGGTCTGGGCCGGAGCCTCCTCATCAAACTCTACATGAGGCTCTGCCGCTGGTGCTCCTGCTTGAGCTCCAGGCTGAGCCCTGCCCCTGCCTCGGCCCCTAGCACGGCCTCATTCTCGACCTCTGCCCCTCGTAGGAGCTGTTGTTGGGGGCTCGGGCTGCTGATCAGCTGATGAAGCGGTACACATTCTCGCCATCTCTGAAGGAATAGAGTAATAAGTTCAATTAGCATTGAGGGATCAAATCGTACGACAGAGAAGAATAGAAGTGAAAATGTTCTTAACTCTGTACCCTCTGGGGGATAAGCATAGACATCTCCATACCGATCCCTCAGACTCTACTAAGCTTGTTCGTGAATTGTGAGATTTAGGCAACTTAGAGCTCTGATACCAACTTGTCACGATCCTAATTTCCCATAGTTGGGACTATGATGACGCCTAACATCGCACTCGCTAGGCAAGCTAACGATAGAGTTATAATAACCTTTTTCCATTAAATTTTCATAGTTAAGATTAACAAAAGCTAATTCAAATAGAATTAAATAGTAAGTACGTATTTAACTGATTATCCTTATACTATTAACAAAACTGAACAATTACCACCCAGAAACGGGTGTCATAACTCACAAACGTTCTACGAATATACAAGTATGGGTTTGAAAGAAAAATACATCTGTCTCAAAAGAAAATAAAACAGAAATGAGGAAAACATATGAGGTGATGTCAGGGCCTGCGGACGCCTGCAGGACTACCAACCAGCTCCGAAATCTGCACAGAAAGTGTAGTATCAGTACAATTGACCCCATGTACTGGTAAGTGACAAGCCTAACCTCGACGAGGTAGTGACGAGGCTAAGGCGGATCTTATACAATATTAACCTGCAATAGTATATAATAAAGCAAAAAGGAAATACGGAACAAAATGGAACAGTAACTTGTAGTAAATAAATACTGAACCCAAATAGTACTCAGGTATAACCAATCCTTTTACAATACCACGGAATAAAATCACGATAGTGGAAGAATAAATAAACAACAAAATGATGCGGCGCGCATCCCGATCCCACCATATAACAAGTAACAATATGAACATTCACCCTTATTACTCCTTGTTGCGGCATGCAACTCGATCCCACCAGTCCACCCTTATTACTCCTCATATATCACTCTTATTCCACCTGCTGCAGCGTGCAACCCGATCCCACCTGTCCACCCGGATAACTAAGGATTCTAGCTCTTTTTACTCGAGTTTTGGATTAAAAATATATACAAATACTCTCAAAGGCTTACATGTTGTACTTGTTTACAGGGTTTGGTCAAAAAGGTGATAATTAGTCAAAACTAGCTCAAAAAGGTTTGAAACATGCACAAGTACCAAGAACAAGTCAAAGCACAGTTGCAACAGACCCACCGCGTCCGCAAGCCATTTAGTGCAGTCCGCAATGAGGAGATTCAGAGAGGTGCACTTTTGCAGCCTAAGGCAATGCGGTCCGCAATGGATTTATTGCGGTCGCAGTAGCCTCTTTGTGGCCGCAATCTATTTTGTGCAGTCCGCGGAGAAGGGGGCCCAGAGAGTTGGGTGTTTGAAGATAAAAGCCAATGCGGTCTGCGGTACTTTTTGTGCGGACCGCAATTGAAGCCACCGCGGCTGTGGTGCATTTTATGTGGCCCGCAGTAGCCAGATTCAGAGAGTGAATAGTCAATCCAAGAAGCCTCATCGCGGTCCGCGGTGCATTTTATGTCGACCGCAGTACCTCGTCAGGGGTATATTTGTCCAGAAAATTTGGACTAGTATAAATACTTTCTTTTCACATTTTTATGGCATCTTTTGTAATCTATTAGACTCCAAAGCACGTGAACGGCTATTTTACTCTATTTTGAGTAATTTGTAGCTAGATTAACACTGAATATACATTATCTTTGACTGTAATTAAATCTTATGGGTTATTCTTCATCTATTTCTCTGATTTCTTCCATTATTATGAGTAACTAGAACCATTAGCTAGGGTTGTGGCTCAACCCTAGTGTGGGTATTTGATGGGTCTTTTGATTTAAGGCTTAGATGTTTATGGGTAGTTGATATGTGGGTTGATTTGTGTTTTCCATGTTGAATTAGTGGTTGCAAACACTAATTTGTGCCTATTTAACTTGGGCTCTTCTTGAAAAAGAGAGCTTGAGTCTAGGAAAATTAGCCCAACAAGGAATTGGAGTATAATCAAGAGATTGATAGCCCCAATTAAAGGGGTAAACCTAGAGATAGTAATACCCGACTTGAACCTTTATTGCTTGCACAATTTTGACACCCAATTGGTCTTGAGAAAGTCAGTTAGGGCAAAATAACCCAAGCTACTGAGAGGTATAGAGTGATTAATTTCGTGCATTGGCTATATCCCAATCCCCAACATAACGTATTTGCCTTAGGCTTTAGATCCCGTCAAGTATTCACATGGGAGAAAGTCACTTCCCTAGTGCCTCTTTAACTATTTGGAAAACCTTACAATCATTCACTCTTAGTTTAATTTAGCATGCTATTAGTTTAAAAATTAGAAGTAACAAACAACCAAAGATGATTGGAAGTGTAATTAAGAGCATTACACATTTCTAGCTTAGATAGGAATCTAATTCCCAATTCTAGCTCCCTGTGGATTCGTTCCCGACCATCTCGGGTAAAAGCTACTTCGACCGCTCTTGCCACTTTGTAGTGGTGTAGGGTTGGCTCCGATCACTTTTTGGCGCCGTTACCGGGGAGCTAACTGTTTTGGTTATCTATCTAAATAGTTTTGTATATTGTTCTTCTTTTTTTCTGTGTTACTAATTTGTGTGTGTCGCAAAATTCAGGTATAAAATGGCAGCAAACAACGCAACTCTTGGAGATCTTCCACCGGGGGAGGAGGTAGATGACAATATTGATGATGAGGTTCCTATAGTACCTCAAGGATAAAGGAAAGGCCGCCAGGCCAATGACAATGTTCCAGACCCTCCCCCGCCACCTCCAAGAGTGGCTCCTCGAGTGCTTCCCAACTAAGGATATGCTAGTACAATTGTCCTACCCCGGATCCGGGCGGGCAATTTTCAAATTTCAAATGTGATTCTAACTTTGTTGGAGCAATGAGGGTATTTCACGGATGCTCCCCATCAGAATGCTTACAAACATCTCAAGGGTTTCGTGGATACCTGTTGGGGGAGCAAGCAAACTAATGTGTCAGCGGATGCACTTCGGTTGAGATTATTCCCTTTCTCACTTAGAGGGAAGGCATTGGATTGGCTTGAAAGGCTTCCGAACCATTCAATCACTACTTGGGATGAGTTGGCGGATAAATTCATTGCAAAGTTTTTCTCGCTGGGACATATGGCAGCATTGAGGGATGAGATCTTAGCTTTCAAGTAGGAGCCCAACAAACCATTGCACGAGATATGGGAGAGATATCGAACCATGGTAAAGGAATGTCCCAACAATGACATTCTTGATGAGATGACTGACATGTCCTCCACTTAGAAAAGTAGAGCCAATGTTCCACAGGGTGACCCCACAGTTATCCACTTGCACAAAGAGCTCCATGATCATAGGCAGGCAATAGCAGAGCTGACAACAACAATGAACCAGCTAGCAAAGGCACAATTATAGCAGGTTCAAAATCTAAGACATGTAAATATTGTGGAGGGTGTCAACATGTTAGTGAACAAAAGAAGACATAAGAGGTCAACAGAACCAAGGGAGTTTGGATCAATATGACAATGATTGTGGTAGATTCCAAGATGATAGTTATGAGGGCAGAATGAAGAAGTGCAATATGTGAACAATTATCAGGGCCAAAGGGGCAATTCTTCCAACCAACAACAATGAAGACCCTAAGGCAATTGGGGCAATCAACAACAACAAGAGAATAGTAATTGGGGGAAAAAAACCAAAATTCCAATTGGGGCAATCAGAACAATTAGGGTAATTGGAGTGGCAACAATAACAATTGGGGTGGAAGGAACAATCAGGGTGGTTGGAATAATGGCAATCAAGGAAATCGGGGGCAAGGCTTTCAAAGACCCCCAATGTATCAACAACCGAACAATCCACCCCCATTTTCATCCCAAGGTCCTAGTTCTTCTAACAATGAAATGGGTAGAATTGAAATGATGTTTGAACATATGATGAAAAAGAATGCAGACTATGATGCTCAATTAGCGTCCCGCAATATTTCAATCAGAAACGTGAAGGTTTAATTAGGCCAAATCTCACAATCCTTGAATACGCTCCCTAAGGGGGCTCTACCAAGTGATACGGTAGTAGACCCGAAGGGTGGGAACAATTCTGGGCATGTAATGGTGGTAACTGCAAGAAATGGACGAGGCGGTGATGTGAATGCCTCCAAACAAAAAGAAATTTTGAATGATGAAGTTGAGTTGCAATAGGATGAGATCCCTTTGGTGGTTGAAAATATGATTGATGATAACGTGAATGAGGAAGTGAGGATTGATATCCAAGATGCCGAGGTGGAAACCCAGAATGATGTGAACCTGTCTAGGGAACATGTATTAGACATGCCGGACATGGTGGTGCCTAAAGACAAGACTCCTTTGCCAAGGCCACCTCCACTTTATCCTCAAAGGCTAGCGAAGCAGAAAAATGAGAACAAGTTTAAGAAGTTCATTGATATAATGAAGAGCTTGTCCATTAATGTACCTTTGGTGGAGGCTCTAGAGAAAAATGTCGGGTTATGCTAAATTCATGAAAGACTTGGTGACAAAGAAAAGATCCATGGATTGTGAGACTATCAAGATGACCCACCAAGTTAGCGCAATAGTGCACTCAATGGCTCCGAAGCTAGAAGATCCCGGTACTTTCACCATTCCTTACACCATTGGGAGTGCAGACTTTGCTAAAGCTCTATGTGATTTTGGGCAAGTATCAACTTGATGCCCTACTCAGGTTTCAAGACTTTGGGTATTGGGTAACTGAGGCCTACTTCTATGAGATTGCAAATGGCGGATAGAACAATGAAGAGTCCTCTGGGTAAAATCGATGATGTTCTTGTTCGGGTGCACAAATTTATCTTGCCGGCTGATTTTGTGATCTTGGATTGTAAGGTAGATTATGAGGTTCCAATCATATTGGGAAGACCTTTCCTTGCAACGGGGAAGGCCTTAGTTGATGTGGAAGCAGAGGAACTCACTTTCCGGGTGGGTGATGAGAAAGTGATCTTTCATGTGTGTAAGTCAATGAAGCAGCCCAATAGTTCTAAAGTGTGCTATTTTGTGGACCTTGTCACGGTAGTAATAGTTGATGATACTAGTGCAGTGATCAATGTGGAGGATCCTCTAGAGGCGGTATTGTTGATTCGGGATGTAAATGAGGATGAAGGCCGAGTGGAGTGTGTCAATGCCTTACATGGAATGGGCTCTTAATCTTATGAGGCTAGGAAACTCTCGTTGGATCTTGAAAATAGGAAGACTCCACCAACAAAACCTTCAATCGAGGAGCCTTCGGTGTTGGAGTTGAAGTCGTTGCCTCTACACCTCAGGAATGAATTCTTAGGCCCTAGTTCAACTTTGCTAGTTATTCTTTCCTCTTGTTTTACTAACATGCAGGTTGATGCCACATTGGCAGTGCTTCAAAAGCAGAAGAAGGCAATTAGATGGACCTTAGCTGATATTCGCGGGATAAGCCCCGCATTCAGTATGCACAATATTATTCTGGAAAATGATGCAAAGCCATCCTTGGAACATCAAAGGCGGTTAAACGAGGCAATGCAAGAAGTTGTAAAAAAGGAGGTGATCAAGTGGTTGGATGTTGCGGTTGTGTAACCCATCTCTGATAGCTCTTGGACTTTGTCAGTGCAATGTGTGCCGAAGAAGGGTGGTATGACCGTGGTTACCGATGCACAAAATGAGTTGATTCCTACCAGGACCGTCACTGGGTAGAGGGTGTGCATAGATTATCGCAAGTTGAATAAAGTTACCCGCAAGGATCAATTTCCTTTGCCTTTTCTTGATCAGATGTTAGACCGACTTGTTGGGCGTGCCTTATACTGTTTTTTGGATGGGTATTCTAGGTACAACCAAATTTTGATTGCTCCGGAAGATCAGCAGAAGACCACCTTCACTTGTTCATATGGTACCTTTTCCTTTTCTAGGATGCCTTTTGGGTTGTGTAATGCACCGGCTACATTCCAGCGGTGTATGATGGCTATTTTTACCGATATGGTAGAGGACATTTTGTAGGTGTTCATGGACGAATTTAGTGTTTTGGGTGACTCGTTTGATGAATGTTTGAAAAATCTTGATAGAGTATTGGCTCGTTGTGAAGAAACAAATCTTGTTCTTAATTGGGAGAAATGCCACTTCATGGTTGAGGAGGGCATAGTTCTTGGGCATAAAATTTCAAAGCATGGTATAGAGGTGGACAAAGCAAAAATTAATGTAATTTCAAGGCTCCCTCCTACTTCTATCAAGGGAGTTAGAAGTTTTCTTGGGCATGCGGGGTTCTACCGGAGATTTATCAAAGACTTTTCGAAGGTAGTGAATCCCTTATGCAAGTTATTGCAAAAATATGCCAAGTTCGTGTTCGATGAGAGATGTATGCAAGCCTTTATACTTATCAAGCACAAGTTGACCACCACTGCTATTATTACCGCACCCAATTGTAGCTTACCTTTTGAGCTCATGTGTGACGCGAGTGATGTTGCGGTTGGGGCAGTCTTGGGTCAAAGAGTGAACAAAATGTTTCATCCGGTGTACTATGAGATCAAGACAATGAATGATGCTCAAGTGAATTACACGGTGACTAAGAAAGAGCTTTTGGCTATTGTGTTCGCAATGGAGAAATTTCAGCAGTATCTCATGGGTGACAAGGTCATATTTCATACCGATCATGTCGCACTCTGGTACTTGATAACGAAAAAGGATTCTAAAGCTAGGCTGATGCGATGGGTCTTGTTACTTCAAGAGTTTGATTTGGAGATTGTGG